GGTTTAGGGCTTAGGTCGATCGTGTATTACGAGTATTGTCATGTAGGTGGTGGTGCTGGTGCTGGTGCTCGTGAACCGTGGGTGCTTCTACAAGGCAAAAGCTCAAGATCTACGGGCTTGGAGGTGCAAGTCAAAGCATGAACTCCCAGGCGAACTACTATACGAGCCTGAACGTTCCAATACTATTTGGGAGTTTCCGAAAATTAGGGGTACCTTAATTTGGGGTCCTTATAATAAGCATCCTATTATTTAGGGTACTATATCAGGGTCCCCTATTTTCTGAAACTCCCATTTCCTTATTCTTCCCTGGTCTGTGGTCGAGGACCCCGGAGGCGGCACTAAGGCACAGGTGGGGAGGGTCATGGAGGGTCTCCTCATCTTAAGCCGAGGAGCACCCCGGCCATCACCAGGATAGACGGAGTGACAGTGCCAGGCAGCCCAGGGCACGGCGGGAGTAATATGGGACGGCCATAATTAATCAAAACAGCGTTCGGGGTAACCGTCCTTAAACCCTAACGCCATAATTTCACCTCGCCTGGGTTGTCCGAGTGTGAGCACCGAGACCCTAAGCCGAGGCTTTGCAGCTCCGCGCTGGCGGCCATTTTCGTCGCCAACAAGGCCTTTGTTGGGCTGGTCTAGGGTTTAAGGTGGAAGGTTTGGGAAGTTGTTGGCTGGTAGTATTAATAGAAATGCTTGTAGAGGTAGCGGCAGCAGCCTCCGATGGCGGTAATGTAGTGCTAAGTATGGTGGCAAAAGTAGTGAAGAGGTAGTGATATCAGGTAGTGCTACCCTGGGTGATACTACTAGCACGTGTAGAGCCAGCTAGAGACTGTGCAGCAGAGTCTTTGAGCACTCTGGTAGCGTTGGCCCTGGAGGGTTTCAGAAAACATTTCCCAACTATACAAGATGTAATGTAAACATATACATACATATATATATATATACAAATATATATATATATATATATATTTATACACACATATACATATTATATGATCTTAATATATATATATATATATGTATACATATATGCACATATATACACATGTTTTAATGATATCTCGCATATTACAAGACCTGCGTGAGCACACAATTTGAAGCTTGGAGTTTGGGGTCGTGGGGTCGCCGTGTGTGGAATGGACTGAGAGAATTCCAAGCGACTTCGACGGAGCAATGTGGTTGAGTCGACATGGGCTCAGGACTCAGAAACTCCGAAGCAGCTGAATGCCCAAACCCTACCGGAGCACTGCAGGTATACAGTGCGCAGCAAGTGGGGCGATTGAGTGCATGAAACCTAAACCCTAAGGCCCATGAGCATGGGAGAGCAAACGGGCCTCGGTTCCGGTGGGAAGCAGGTCTCCCTGCCCTTCTTCGATGCCAACTTGGCGTCGAGAAATCTCGGGGGCATCCCTGCAATCACCTTCACAGACAAGGCGGCATTTGGGGGAACTAAACTAGCTTAAGGTTTGGAGGGCCACAACGCAAGCGTTTTGGGGTTAGGGGTTTAGGGTTGAGCAGTTGCAGGGAGTTAGGCTGTAGGATCGGTGGGGGCAATTCAGCAGACTCAAAACAGAGATCTCGACACTTAGGAATATTATGCTCTTCTCTAGTCACACCCTAAACCCTAGACCATAAACCCTAAACCCTAGAGCATAAACCCTAAACCCCAAACTGTTATAGTCTCTATGTCATGCGTCCGTTCACAGACCCCCAAACCTCAACCTAGTCACCAGGGCCCCCTGCAGTAAAGCCATCGTTTAGGGGGTTTAGGGAAATCTCCGTCTCCATGCCCAGATCTTTCTGCATGCCTTAATTAAGGAATATCCGTAAGTCCTAGGTTCCTGAGTAGTACCCTTTTGCCCTTTTCCTTGTTGGGGTCCATTTATTAAAACCGAATGGTCGGAAAAGGGGTCCCCGTATTATTGAGGGGACATTGGAAGATCTGGGCAGTCAGGCTCTTTCCAGATGTGGGAAGAATACAAAACCCTGAATCGCGCCTGTGTGGGGTCGAGAGGGTTAAGGGTCTAGAGGTTCAGGGGTTTAGGGTTTAGCGCATCCCTGAGCCGTGCCAAAGGCCTTGGAGCCCGTCATGAAGGTGATGAATGTCGTGGAGATGGGCGAATGTTTGCCGCAGGTCATCAGTTTGAGACACATGCTGCAGGCCTCGGGGCACGACATGACCCTAGACACCGTAAACCCCAAGCCCTGAAACCCCAAACTGAAATCCTAAAACCCTCTATAGCCCTATATAGAACGCTTATAATTCCTAAATACCCTAAATCCTAAACCCAAAGCCCTGAAGCCCTGACGATCTCAGCTCCAGCAGCCAGGTGCTCATGTCGACGAAGCACCTCGGGAGTGTTTATAGATAGTTAGGGTTCAGAGTTTAGAGGTTTGGGTTGGACATTTAGGGGTTTGTGAGAATTTGGGTGTTCGGCTTTCGGCGGAAGTCAAACTAAAGTCCATCCCTTTACGGGGGAAGATGGGTGGCTTACTAAAATTCGTGTTTTGTGTCGGGGGATATGATTTGGGATTGTTTGTTACCTTTTGCTAACTGTCCCTGGTATTCTGAAGCCCCTGTTTATGCCAAACTGTGTGCATTTCCAGTCCTGAAGCGCCATAGAAGTCTGTCTTTTATTCCGGGGCAGTGTTGTGAAGCTTACAGAACTATAGCATTCACTGTTTAACTTCTGCTGCAACCCGTGTACTAACCCCCGTGCTAAACCCTAAGCCCTCAACGCTATGCCTTAACCCGCTGACGAATCTGCCAAAAGCCGATCAAGCCCTGTATACAAACCTAGTTACAGAAACCCTGCCAAGCCTCTATGAAACTCGTCGGAAAGAAGCGAAACCCTGAGCCTTAACCCTTTCAAAAAAGATGCCTCTAAAACCCCAGAACCGTTCACAACCCCATGAAACTCCATGTGAAACAAAACCCTATAGAAACCCATGCAGACACAAGCTCGCCCCCCTAAACCCTAAACCCTAAACCCCAAACCCTAAACCCTAAACCGTAATCTCGAAGCCTCAGCCCTTTGATGAAGGCGCCTCTACAACCATTTTAAGCCTTTCCAGACCCCTTAAAACCCTATAAAACTTAATCAATCGCTCTAGAACCCCTCGGAACAGAAGCACAAAAGGCTAAGGAAGTCCTAGTAAGCTCGTTAAAGCCTTCAACGCTAAACCCTAAGCCCGCAATTCCTTTTCAAGAAGAAGCCTAGGAATATAACCCTGTTATGCCATCTGGAATCCTCTTTAACCCGATTTGTTTATTTTTCAAGAAGAAGCCCAGACCCTAAACCCTAAACCCTAAACCCTGGGAACAAAAAACCCTAAACCCTAAGCTCCCCAAAAAACCCTAAACCCTAAGCCCTAAACCCTAATCACTAAACCCTAAACCCTAAACCCCAAGCCCCCTTAAAAGAAACCCCCTAAACCCTGAACCGAGCCTAGGAATGACTTCTTTCCCGTCGTCCGGCCATTGGATTGGAACATTTCAGACCAGGGGCTCTTAGAGGCTTCGCTTTGGGCGTCGGGTTGGGGGTTCTGTAAAATTTTCCTAGGGTTTAGGGTTTAGGGTTTAGGGTTTAGGGTTTAGGGTTTAGGGTTTCGCTTTGGGCGTCGGCTTGGGGGTTTTTGTAGGGGTTTTCAGAGGTTTTTGTTTCGGCATTTTGGGGTGTAAAGGCATGTCATAGGTTATTTTGGGCGTTGTGGGGTTCAGAGTGTGTAGTTGGAGGCTGCGTCGATTTATTTGTCTGTCCGTCCGTCTTTCTGTCTGTCTGCCTGTCTGCCTGCCCGTCTGTCTTTCCATGCACTCCTACCGCGTAGCCAGCCATCCATCACTCCCTCCCTCCGTCCATCCATCCATCCATCCAGCCAGCCATCCATCCATTCATCATGTATCTATCTATTTATGTATCTACCTACCTATCTACCAATCTACCAGTCCATCTATGTATCTATCTACCTACCTACCTACCTACCTACCTACCTATCTATCTATCCATCTATCTATCTATCTATCTATCTATCTATCTTCCGACCTGTTGTGTGTCGATCTACATATCTTTACTATTGCTTATTCTTTCTGCTTTGCCGACTTATAGTAGCTCGTCTTTAGAGGGTTGACGGTGTTTAGGTGACAGGGCTTAGATGTGGTGGTTGAATAGCGCCGACGACGGCGCAGTGGTGATGGCGACAACACAGTGCTGCTTGTCCCCAGTCACTTCTATCATCGGCAAGTCGTCGGATGGTTGGGCTTCTGGCTGGCGTTTCCCGTTGCTTTGCTTGCCTTTCTCTTCTTTCATTCGGCACTCGTTCCCATTCGTCTATTCATTCGTCGGTTCGCTGTTCTCGTTCGAGCTGTTCTTCTTTTTGGTGGTGACACTGAGGTGAGTACTAGCCGCTGCTTTTGGTTGTCTTGGACTCTCAGTTTGGAAGAGCTAGGAAATATACCTCGCCTTGTATTGAGGGTCGCGCCACTGAGGGGTCAGGGCCCCAGTGAGCCTCCAAGTTCGAAAGTTTGCAGTTCGCATGGACAGCTACACGACCCACAGGGGCTCTCCAGATAGAGACCCTCCGGAACCCTCAAGAAACCCTTCTTAAACGTTTTGTTGAAGAATCCTTAGACAACACTTATTACTGCAGAAGCAATAGGCGTCTAGGCCCAGCAGAGTAAGTACCTTAATTGGGGGTATAAATACTTATATGGATAGTTACTTGATTTTAGGACCCTAGCTACTATGTTCCTTTCACCATGGTATTATTTACACGCGGCCGCATGGCCACGCGGCCGGTGGCCACGAACAACAGCAACACCAACAACAGCACCAGCAACAGCACCAGCACCAGCAACAGTGACAGCAACAGGAACAGCAACAGCAGCAGCAGCAGCAGCAACAACTGCAACAATAGCAACAACGACAACGGCGACGGCTGGATGGACAAACACAACGACAGGAGCAACAAAGAGTAAAGCCAGGTCAAGAGTATTCGAAGGCCTTGAAAGAGCGCTCGAAGATGAAGTGATCCTTGAAGCGAACGTGTTTTAAGGTTCGGAGGCTGTCATTGAACCAGCAAAACCTATTTGGAGAACTTGCAGGCAGAAAACCTTTTGTGGAGTTACATGCAGGTACTCCCTTCTGTGGGGTTCTGGCAGTTGCTTCGTGCCGAGCTTGTCGTGCCAGGTTCAGGGTCATCATATGTCATATGTGTCAGTATGCCGAAATTCGTTTCGGTACTCTGTTTCTTGTGTCGGGCAGCGATATCGGTACCGACATGCCGCGGCATCGATCGTTCAAGGCACAAGTCTCCCATACTGGGATCTCACCGCTTGCACGCCCGTGGTGTGATTAGGGCACACATGGCTCAGTTCTGCAAGTCTGAAGGGCAAAAAAACACGACTGACTTGACTCAACGTTCAGGTCTTGCTCCGTCCGCGACCAGAAGCCCATGTCATGTCTTGCAGGGAAAACGCAGAGAGCACTAAACAGCACCATAGATCTTAGACTCCCCGTGCCAGATCCATCAAGACAGAACCCTCAACCGAGAGCTCTAAGCCCGAAATGGTAAACCCCAACCTTAAAAAACCACAAGAGTTTCCCAATGAGAGCGCCTTCGCAGTATCCTTATAGCCCTCCTATATCTCACTATCTTTACTAAACCCTAAACCCTAAACTAAACCCTAAACCCTAAACCCTAAACCCTAAACCCTAAACCCTAAACCCTAAACCCTAAGCCTTAAACTAAACCCTAAACCCTAAACCCTCCTATGTTTCACTATCCTTATACCGATTTGGAAGCTGCTCTGAACCAGCTCCCGAGTCTCCCAAATCCGCAGCTGCAGCTCGGGACTGAGACATGTCTGAAACAGACCTGGGTGTGTTAGGGTTTAGGGTTTAGGGTCTAGGGTCTAGGGTTTAGGGTTTAGGGTTTAGGGTCTGGGTGTCAGTCATATTAACAACTATAGTAATAACCACGATAATAACTTTCACAAAAATAGTAATAATAATAGTAGCAATACTAATAATAATAACAATACTAGTAATAGTAATAATAACAATAATGATAGCTATAACAATAATCATAAACAGAATATGTCATGTTACATATGTTCTATGGTTTAGGTCATTATATGTATACATAGAAACGCCCTGCACACGCATTGTGTGCAGACATATACATACAATACAAACATATCATCGGGTAAAGTAACATTCAGTTTCAGTATATAGTTGATTTCTAGTTTTACTGCTTTTCATGCCTTCCGGGGTCTGGGGTTTGGGGCGTGTTTATAGTAGTAGCAGCAGTAGTAGTAGTAGTAGTAGTAGTAGCAGCAGCAGCAGCGCTAGCAGGAGCAGGAGAACAAGAAGACAGACGGAGTTGAGCAGCCCTGGCGGAGATCCTTCCTGGCCGTGTTGACTGCCAACTGTTATCCTCAGCAACACTCAACAGTAGATCTTTAGGGCTTAGGGTAGAAAGTATTGGATCCCTACTTCCAGGACCTACCGCAACGACAGTTCAACAGAAACAGTCACGGTATGCAAGTTTACCAAGTATGTAGCGATGCGTAGGCATGGGTACTGATCAGGAAACATTAGTTAAACCTCACTCCGACAGTCTATAAATAGACTCTGCCCACAACTTCACAGGACGCACCCGAAGCCCTACATACCCTGCCCCTAAATCCTCAAACCAAGATCCTAGACTTCCCCTAAACCCTAAATCCTCAAACCAAGATCCGAAACTCCCCCAACCACGAGGCATGCACCCTGAAGCCACCGGCAGAAGAAGAGCTCCGGAGCGAGGCCTTCACCCATGAGATGCCGGAACCTGGCTGGCTGTCACTTTAGGGTATCGGGTTTAGGATTTAGGGTTTAGGGTTTAGGGTTTAGGGTTTAGAGTTTAGGGTTCAGGGTTTAGGGGGGTATCTGCAACGGCTCTTTATGGGTGCTGTAGGGGCTTTATAAGGGTAGAGTTCTGTAATACAAGGGTTCACGGTTTGGGATTAACCGTTCGGATTTAGCGTTCGGCGTTCAGGGTTCGGGGTTTAGGGGTGTAGGTGTCCGAAGGCACGTCAAAAGACTGCACGTCACAAACGCGAGCAATGATATCGTTGATGCTGTGCCTATGAAACTGAAACTAACGCGGTGAGCGATTAGGCGAAGTAGGCAGGTTACAATACATGTAGTGGTAGGCAGTATCGAAGCGATGGGCAAGATCAGCACAGCTTTAACAGCCATACGACAGATACTAGAAGAACCGACACAGGACTTCACAGAATGGACAACTGCCTCTGGTCTCCACTGGAGTTCCTCCTTGGGCTTACCTTTTAGGATCCTTAAAATAATTTGGCTAAACCCCAAAACGGTACTGCAATGGAGACGACCCATATAGAACCCTTATTGTAGTACATACACTTATAAAACCACATATAGATCCATTTAAGGAACCACCAAAAAAGTAGTTCAGATCCGTCTGTCGAGCAACTGTGTTTATCCCTTGGGCGGGTCAGAAAGGCCTCCCTGCTGCAGCCTACGTGCATGGCTAATTCACACCCACGCTGTAACTTGGCCACTGAGCACATATATATATATATGTATATGTACATATACACACATAATGTTTATGTCTATCTATATCTACCTATTTACAAAAATAAATTACTCATATATTTCAAATCTTAGGTTTGTTCTGTATCTGTGCACATACGTGCAGACATACGCTGTTGCATATGTACATGCAGTTCTACACCTAACCTAATGTATACAGTAGTATGAAACTCGCTTCGGAGTTGCTTACTTACTCTTCTGCTGCCTTCTACGATGCTAGTGTTGTGTAAAACTGTAGCACACCCCAACCCGCAGCACCAAAGCCTAAACCTTAAACCAATCACAAAGACCCAACAGCTCAAGGCCCAACAAGTGATTAGCAATGACTTCGGCGGCGGCGGTCCCAACCTCGCAACTCCAGAGGCCCTTCCCAAAGGCGCCAGGGCGGCAAGTTGGGAAGATGTGCAGCTATGGCGACCTGCTCACTTTTAGGGTTTCGGGGTTGTTGAGGGCTAACTATAGGGGTTCAGGCTTCAGGGCTTTGGGGGTTGGGGTTGAGGGGTTCAGGGGCTCAGCGAGCGGAATGGTAGAATGCAGCTGAAAGCAGCTGAAAGCATATAGGAAGGGTCAGGTAGTCTCGGTGCTGTGGTCTGCACCAACCATCAGTCACTTCAGTTTTTTTCCATTCCCAAAGGACAATCGCAGATCTGCTTCGGACGACTTCGGGTCGACTTTGAGCATTTCACTTCTGGACCAGACGCTCTAAAGGCTTCAGGTGCTGTCACCTAGGTGCAGCAGGGCACAAGTTGCTTATTCAGGGTAGATGCGCAAGAGGTTCAAATCAAGATGGCTCTCGAGAAAGCAAACGATGCTATGATTGGCCACTGGGCCGCTGGTATCAGGTAGGTAGGCGCGACAAGCCCACAGCGCCCTTGAACGTGTCCTGACCGGCCCAAACAACCTACATCCCGGCGGGAGCACCTGGAAATGACGGCACTGAAGAGCCAGCCACGGCCTGGGCGCGATTCCCATGACGAATTACCTTAGCTTAGTTGCCTGCAATTCATCGACTTGATCACGATGATCCTGTGCAGAAATCATGCTAGCCGTTGGTACCAAAAGGTGTTGGTGTAGTGGCACCAACAGCCAACACCGAGACGTGTCATAGCCGTACCGCCAGCAGCACCTATTTGTGTCCAATGGCAAAGAGAAGTGCAGCAAACGATGCGTACTATCTTACTATCATTGTAGCCATAAGGATAGCGATACCTTTACCGCTACGACTACATGCCTCACTACACATCTTTGTTCGTCATGAGTGGCTGACCACTACCGCTCTTGTCACATACTGTGCGTTGGTTGGTATACTTGCTTCGTATGCAGATACTTGTTTGTGGGTGTGTGCAAATGTATGTGTATAGGTGTATGTATATGCTCGTGTACATGTGCATGTGCCTGTATATGTATGTGTGTATGCTGTTGTATGTATGTATGTATTTATGTATGTATGTATGTATGCATGTATGTATATACGTGTGTATATACGTATGCATGTGTATGTAAACTTTTATGTATGTATGTATGCATGTATGCATGCATGTATGCATGTATCTATGTGTGTATGTATGTGTGTATGTATGTGTGTATGTATGTAAGAGATGTAATGTAATGTAATGTATTGTAATGTAATGTAATGCATGTATGTATGTATGTATGTATGTATGTATGTATGTATGTATGTATGTATGTAAGCATGTATGTGTGTTATAACCGTACTATAACATGTCATATCATTCATGCAGTATGTGACACAAAGCACGAGATGTCATGTTTTCTTTATGATGCTGATGATTATGATGAATGGTGATGATAAAGATGATGATGGTGATGGCGCTGATGACGACGATGATGATGATGGAAATGATGATGTTGGTGATGGCGTGTCTGTATATTTATGTATATAGATATACAGATAGATAGATAGATAGATAGATAGATAGATAGATAGTAAGCATGAAACACATAGTGCATGCATAATGGCATAAGGCAGCCTATGTCCAACAAATCCAAACAGTTCCAGCAGTCAGAGTAATATCAACAGTAATAATGCGATTAAATACGTAGATATCTGAAGCAACAATAATATTTGTAATGGTAGTGGTAAAACTATCAAAGCGCGCAACAATGCAACATAACATAGCGTACATATGTGGAAATATCGTGCGTATGCAGATAAATATGTATGTCTGTATAGGCCTTTACATGTCATGATACTCTCTTCTATAGGACCTTGCATTATGACCTACTTTTACCTACCTACTATATACACTATACCATCATGTACGATACTATACTATACTCTATTGTATGTGTGTGGCAGCACCCAGGACGGCGTGAAGTCATGCCCTCAGCCCCCCTTCGTTCAAAGCTTATTTTGCTCCTCTAATGAGTTCAATACTGCCATTCTAACCTGGTTCCGGTAGAATCCCAAAACCTAAACCCTTAAAGGAACCTTTGACATAATCTTTACGATTCTGTGCTAACTGCGATACAATGAGATGCCGGCAGGGCCACATCGGAGAGGAGCCAAAGCCTCCAGTTCACCCAGCATGAAACTGTGAGTCTGAGCAAAACAGTATGGGTATTTTACAACAGGGCTTAGGGTTTAGGGTTGAGGGTTTAGGGTTTTATTTTACAACATGGTCTCGTAAAGTTATATGGACAACACCAGGGAACACCAATTGTTCTGACATCCAGGGTAATGTGCTTCTTCATGCTCTGGGGACCGAATGGTTGATACTGCTTTGAGTGCTTGTAGGAGCACTCGAAAACCTGAAGCGTGTATTCTGCTGCAACTGCCAAGTAGCACACGTTTGTTTGCTCCTAATGTGGAAATGCATGCAGAGACTTGTCATAGTAATCATAGTATCTATGTATCTCACTGTAACAAGCAGTTTACGCAGAGGGAACTACAACAAATGCGACACGGTTTACATAGTAATACACTGTGGAACAGTGCCGTGCAGATCGCAGAAGAGCCTGGATGTAAACACACCAACACACATATCACAAGAACGCCTACAAACCTTCCCTACAAACATGAGAGCAGCCTTACAAATCCTGGTTACTTCATTTCCAGGTCCCTATACAACACCCTGGCCGCGTAATATAAGGGCCTTAATAATTAGAATAGGGTTTTGGGATGTGTATATACATATACATATATATATATATATATATTATATACTATACCTATAATAAGGAACACCCAAAACCCTAGTCTATTATTCAGGACCCTATATTAATTGCTACTCGAAGCCCCAAGCCCTCGTTTCCGGCTTCGCCTTTGGCAGAGCCAGGGCTCCATAAGGAGCCTCTCGAGGATGTCCGGCGGCAGCCTACCAGGCACAAGGGCTCCTGTTGGGGTTTCTAGGGGTTCACCTAAACCCTAAACCCCTAAACCCCTAAACCCTAAACCCCGGGCTGTATGGCTGTAGGGCTTTTGGGATGTTTTCGGGTTTCGGGTCTTTAGGGTTCAGGGCTAGACTTAAGATGCCTAGGCTTTAGGATTGCAGGAAATTGGGGCTCCCGGTAGCGTTTAGGGTTTGGGATTTGGGGTGTGCTTTTTGAGATGTAGGGCTTCAAGATCTAGAGATTAAAGGTTCTCGGATCTTGATGGCTTGGCGTTTTAGGGTTCAGGGCTTCAGGGCAAAAGGAAATGGGTTGCTTATGTTGCCAGTGTTAGGTGCCCAAACAAGCAACCCAAACAAAACCCATAAGGTCGGGATATCCCACCATCCCCACTTCAAGCAAGCCAATGAAGCAGGGACGCCCCATCCGTTTATGTCTGGGTGGTTTTCGGCTCCTGAGTTTCGGTTTCAAGTTTGGGGTTTATGGGTTGAGAGGTCTGGTTGGCGGGTTTAGTGTTGCTGCAATTGGGGTTTGGAGATTCAGGATTTAGGCTGGAGGGTCTGGGATTAGGCATGATGCGCTGCTACCGGGGTTTCTTGCGGCAGCACTGACAATGGAGCCGAAGACAACCGCGGCAACAGACATCTTATGCATTCTGATACCATCGATCGCGACACTGCTATCCAGATGTCCAGTGCGGTCCTAAACCCTAAACCCTAAACCCCTAAACCCTAAACCCTAAACCCCAGACCCAGACAAAGAACCCGAAGATGCAACACTCAAAGGACTCACAGAGCCTCTCGTCTTTGGAAGCAGTTCCTGGCGGCTGGAAAGGTAGATCCAGTTGCGTGTTTGTTCTCAGAAGCACAGGCACTCTCCATCTTGGCTGCGTTTCAAGTCATCTTGCGTGAAGAGCTTCACATCTATCGTCTGCTGCAACGCAAGCCGGCATTGCATGCCCAGGTCACGCTACAAACATCGAAGTGGCACGAGAGCAGATTGCTGAGTTCGACCATGTGTTAGCGCCCCCGTCACTCCACATACCATGCAACCTCAAAGTAGCCCTGCAGAGCCCACAGCAAAACCGACAGCACCGTGTACTCAGACCTTGTGCACTGCTTATAGCTGCAGCGATGCCGCTGGCCGTAGCCTGGGCTGCCTTCAAGCAAAAGTCTCTCGCGAGTTTCAACTTGGTTTAGAGAGAGTCTGCCTTGACCTACTTTCTATCCCGCACTGATGCTGTGTCCGAACCTTTAGATACCATGGCTTACGATGACTGCAGGAGCGGTACTTAGTACGGGCCCTGCACCAGCCGTGGCAGCCCCAGGAGCAGGTAGTGGTCGTTGTGGTAGTCGCGGTAGTAGCAGTAGTAGTCGTCGTAGTCGTAGTCGTCGTCGCCGTTAGTGGTCGTGGCAGTGGCGGTAGGAGGAGTAGGAGTAGGAGTGTAGTGGTAGTAGTAGTAGTAGTAGTAGTAGTAGTAGCAGTAGTAGTAGTAGTAGTAGTAGTAGTAGTAGTAGTAGTTGTAGTAGTAGTACTAGTAGAGTAGTAGTAGTAGTAGTAGTAGTAGTTGTTGTTGTTGTTGTTGCTGTTGCTGTTGTTGTAGTGGCAGTGGCAGTGGCAGTGGCAGTGGCAGTGGCTGTGGCAGTGGCAGTGGTAGTGGTAGTGGTAGTGGTAGTAGTAGTCGTCGTCGTAGTAGTCGTAGTAGTACTCGTACTACTAGCAGTCGTACTGGGCACACACAGGTGATTGGCAATCCGAAGCCCGAGCAGACTTTATAACGGCTTCCCAGAAGCTCAAACCCAAAGATGCCCCTGAGCGTGCAATAAGCCCAAGGGCCAGAAGCGTGTAGCCTGCTACAGAGTGACCGGAGAAAGAGTAAGAACGAGAACGAGAGTAATAGAAGTGAACAGCGGAAGCCGTCATGAACCGGGAGCCGAACCCTCATGACCCTAATACCAAAAAACCCTGAACCCCGACGACCACTTCCCAATCCCGGCACCCCCCCAAAATCCCACTCCCACTCTGAAACCCTGAAGCCCCAAGCCCCAACTCCTAAAATCCAAGAGTTGCCACTCTAAAACTTCCAATCCCTAAACCCAAGTAGGCGCCGCCATGGTGGTGCCTCCGCACTGGGTGCCCCTCCAGCTAGGCCGCTGCTGAGGCGAGCTAAGCTCAAGGCATCCACCCTGGAGGCTCAGGCTTCACTCTTTGCTTTTCTGTTGGGTTTAGGGTTTAGGGCTGTCTGTCTGTCTGTCTGTCTGTGTCTCTGTCTGTCTGTGTTTCTGTGTGTTTTACAAAAGCAAGGTAGAAAGTTCAAGATTTTCGGCTTCCGGTTTTGACTTTCGGGTACACCTGTAGTGAGGGGTCTTGGATCCAGAACCGGTGTCTAGGTTTAGGGTTTATGGTTTAAGTCTAGCGTGTGGGGTTGAATGTTGAGTGCTCAAGGTTGCGGGTTTCGGGAAGGACGGGTGGAAACACTATCTTGACAACTGCAAGTGGCTCGTTAGCCTCACTTGTGCTGGATATGTCAATCTTTTCATTGACCTATCGCCGTCGGTTTCCACCACTCTCATCAAGATTGCCCAAAACCCTAAACCCTAATGAATTCCTGGTCTCACATTTCTTTCTTCTTGCTCGCTTTCTAGTACTTTGCTTTGGGAGTTTTGGCAGCCCTAGGGCTTGATGTCCTGTGGTAATATAGGGGCCTCATAATTCGAATAGGGTTTCGCAGCCCTTGATACTATAATTATTACCCTAAACCCTAAACCCTTATAAGAAGGAACTACTACCAAAATAATATTGGTAATTATCTAGGCCCCTATATTACAGTAAACCTCCTTTGTGCCACTGGGCTTGCAGTTTCAGGGTCGCCTCTTACGGAAAAGAGTGGGGCTCATCAGGCTGCTGGCTAGCTCAACCTAGGGTTTAGGGTTTAGGGGTTTAGGGTTTAGGCTTTAGGGTTTAGGGTTTAGGGTTTAGGGACGCGCAGCGGGCATCTTTTTCCTCGGTAGTGGGGTTCTTTGTTGATCATGCCAGCATATGTTGATATATGTTGCAAAACGCAATCGTGACAATAATAGTGATAGTACTTGCAATATTTGAAAAAACCATCCATCTTACAACATATCGCCGGGCTCTCAGTCTTGCAGTATTCGCGCACGCACTCTGGGCTCAGGACCCTGAAACCATTGAAGCAAATGTAGTGGCCCTTAATGGCCCATACAGTATTACATAGTTCTATGATCGTATTAAGCCGTTATAAACCATAAACCCTCTACATCCTTAGGCCACCCATATTACTGCTAGCACGCAAGCCGAAGGCAGTCCTGGCCGCCGTTTCCAAGAGAGCTTCCTGCCAGGCAAGCTTTGGGAATCTGGCTAGGGCTTCGATAGGTTTAGGTTTTCGGATGTGTTTGGGGTTTAGATGGGTTTAGTATATAGGGTGTAAGGTTTAGGGTTTGATAGTAAGCAACTTATAAACATTTCTACAACCTGTACATGACAAACCGATAGAAACCTCTCAATAGAAGCACGCTAAAACCCCAGACGGCCCTGTTAAACCCCATTGTTAGGGTAGCTACTCCTTCTCGCCTACAACTCATTGTCAGCTACAGGGTACTTCTTGCTACTGTCCTGCTGCGGATGCCACACGGACATTGCGATTCCGACTGTTTAAGCACCTAAACCCTAAACCCTAAACCCTAACCGCGGCTGCAAAACAGCCCCTGCACTGCCAGGCCTCCGGCGAAGGAGATGGCTCCGGCCGCGAAGAACTGGAAGCATCCTCCCGGAAGCTACGAAGCTAACATATAGGGTTTAGGGTTTAGGGTTTACGGTTTAGGGTTTTGGGTTTCATTGTGGCCAGAAGGATGGGAAAAGGGCTTCGGGTATCCTACTACAACTATAACAGAGAACTCTGAGGCATGCCACTACTAACCGTTGCCTGTAAATCGACCGTGTTAAGGAAGACGTGGCAACGATGACTGAAGCAGTGACAAAAGTCAGATGATAAGCCTGACACAAGCTATGGCACAGCAGCTCAGTTGTCTATTGAACTGTATCGTTCGGTTCTAGACACCGATTCGTGTATTTACACTCGACTTGCGTTTGGCCTGCACTCACTGATAAGCTTTATGTGTTGGATTCCGGCCCTCTAAACCTTACATATATATATATATATATATGTATATATATCTTATATGTATAATATATATATATATACATGTATGTATATATATATAATAAATGTAATAATAATATATATATATATATGTATACATATTTATATTTATACACACCCTAAGACTTCCACGCTAAGGCGGGGACGCTCGATGAACGAGCAGCTGCGGCTCTGCTCAAGAGTGCCTGGCCAAGAGTTTTCAACTCCAAGCAGAGACCGCAAAATAAGCAAGGAGGGTTTAGGGTTTAGGGTTTAGGGTTTAGGGTCTAGGGTTTAGGGGTTTAGGGTTCAAGGGTTTAGGGTTTAGGGTTTAAGGGTTTAGGGTTTTGGGCTCCGAAGACATTGCGGCGGCTTGGGAATGACCCGCTCAAGATTCAGTGTGCAGACTCGGCAGACAGGGCCACCCTGGCCAAACGGCATGTTTCAAGTTCATGCAGGCCGGACGGCTGCATGATGATTGCCGGCATCCTGCACCAGATGCTCCTAACCCTGATGCCTACACCCTAAACCCTAAATCCGAAACCCTAACAGGGTTTTTGTCTAGAAAAACCTAGTAGACTAACCCTGAAACCTATACTCCTATGCCCTAAACCCTAAGCTGCCAACTTCAAGGAGTGTGACAGACAGGGCCGGGCTCGATGCTGCAAGCCTCCCACACCCGCACTCGATGTCCACAAATCCCATAAGAAGAGCAACACCTCAACCCAAAACCCTATATAATCCTGAACCCAAACCTGAAGCCTAACCTCTAAGAGTTGTACATGTAGTAGCCGTCTTCCCGGACATTTTGTAAATTCAGAAGTGTAACACGGGGGCCTTCATGCTTAGAATCGTGAACAGTCTTTGGGGGGTTTTGGCGCCGACCTTGGGTTCTACTACCTCAGAGACTCCAACATCCCTTAATTAATGAAGGAATATACCTGAAATCATATAAGGGATCCTCCTATAATTTAAGGTATATTCCCTTAATTAAGGGATATACCTGAAATCATATAAGGGGTCCTCCTATAATGTAAGGTATACTCCTTAATTAAGGGATGCTGGAGTCTCTGGGATTTCAGGATACTCAGAAGTTGCACCGCCACAGACCGGCTCAGCCCTCCGCCCTTTTGCCGAAGCTGCCAAGCGAGATCTGAACTTATCATCCCTTCTCAAACAACTCGAACTTTATGGTTAGGGTTTAGGGTTTAGGGTACTGTAGTGTCCTACGAATTGTAAAAGCATCCCCCCCGCCCCCTCCAAGCAAGGCGTGTTCGAACTGCTGAGGCCGCTGCTTCAAACCCCGACCCTAGATCCGGACCTCGGAACCGAAAACCCCAAAAACCCTAAACCGCGAACCTGCGTCACAAAGTAATAGAGGGGCCTCAATACGGGCTTTAGGGTCTAGTCTACAAGTCTAAGGAGCCCCCAAAATGGTGTTCTGGGACCCCAGGCCTTAAACCTTGAAGGCGCCAGTCGCGGGGCCTTGACAGAACAGGGTTTCGGGGTCTCTGTCTCATAGTATCATTATAACAAGGTGCCCTGTGTATGGACTAGGAACACCAAGAGCCCCAGAGCAGAAATCCTGGAATCCAAAAAAAGAAAACCCTCACGTCACGACTGCTCCTCTGGGAGGCTGCTGGTGGCCCAGCGCCAGAAGCCAAGACCTTGAGGTTTTTCTACTCTCCAAAGCAATTCTTCCGGCTTTAGGGGGCAACCTATTTTGCAAGTATAGCATACAAAAGCATACAGAAAGCGTCACACGGCCCGAGTGTTGCAGGGCTCGTGCTTTCGGAGTGTATGTTGTATGTTTACGGTTGTTTGTTCCGCAGACCACTCAGACCACTTGGAATACTAGGTCGAAGCATATACGCCTTTGCATAAAATGTATAGCAGGCCCGTGCATATACATGTGTAGCTGTGTGTGTGTGTGTGCACACAGGTCTATATGTGTGTGTGTGTGTATACATCCACTGTCTATGCATGTAGCGAACTACTGATGTGCTTAGTTAGTACAAGTAGGTCCTTTCTCGTATTTGTTGTGTAGTAACGTCGTACAGACGATTTACATGTAATATATATATATATATATACACACATACCTAGAGACAATGAGTGCGATGTAAGGACGCACCGTGCGAAATGCTACCAGTGCATGCTGTAGTAAGTGCTGTTTGAAGCTTCATGTGTGCGCATATGTAGACTTGCCTACACCCGGGGCACGGTCCTCAACCTCCAAGACCCGTTGCAAAACTCGGCTTCAGAGGGTTCTTGGAACAAGCTCCGCCCTTTGCTGCAAAACTCTGCCGTGCTAGACTGCGATCTTCCGTGATCCCCTGCACCCCAGCTGAACAGCCCGGATGGCACGTCAAGCACGGAGATCAATCTGGGGGTTCTTCTCAGAACACTTAGGAGACCTCGTCTGGAAGTACTAATATGGCCTTTGGTTTGATGGCTTACCATCTAGCGCCCATATTTGGGTCGCTTGCTTGCAATTTCTGAGACTCCCATAAACAATGCAAAAACAACATATCAGCTATAATACAACACATTCTAAGCTACTACAATATTTTATGGTCTAATTACTATGATGTATCTCTTCCTGGGCGTGGGGCGCTGTGAAGCGGACGGCGGCCGGCCGAAGCGAAGGACCTAGGTACAAGTCGAAGTTGTGTTCATGAGTGTCTGTTGTTACTAGTTTAGGCTTCAGAGTTTAGGCTTTCGTTAGGGTACGGTGTTTAATATAGTCTGCTTATAGGCTAGGATTCTAGCCCCCTGGAAATTGTAGGCTGGAGGATTGGGGGTTGCTAGAGAGTGTGCGCCCATCATCCATCGATATCTCTCAGCCTACAACCTGTAGGCCTTTAGAGTCTCGGAGTGTCCTACACAAGAAACATCCAAACCATGCTGTTCAGCAACTTGGGGCACCCTTCTGGACCCACAGGACCCTCTTAAAAAACTCCTAATCCCTAAAACCTCGGGTCTAAAATCCCTAAAACCAACATATCCCGGCAGGCCCCATATTGTAACTTGAATAGATAATCACAGTAATAATACCCTTTATAAGACACTTACAGTATCAACGAACCCCTAAGCCCTAAACCCTGAATCCTAAACTCTAAGCCCTAAACTCCAAATCCTAACCCCTAAACCCTGAACCCTAAACCGCAAGCACGCTGAAAGGAAGCCTAAAAACCCTAAACCCTAAACCCTAAATCCTAAACCCCTAAACCCCTAAACCCCTGAAAAGCAAGGGCTCCGGCCCAACTCCAAAGTCGACGTGGAGGCTGACTGGTGCCCCGCTGAGAGGGCCGGGCCTGCATCTTGGACTCAGATATTTTGGGGTTTGTGGTTTGGGGTTTAGGGTTTGAGTTTAGGGTTTAGGGTTTGGGGTTTAGGGTTTAGGGTTTAGGGTTTGGGGTTTAGGGTTTGGAGTTTGGGGTTTAGGGTTTAGGGGAATTGTGGGTTTAGGGTTTAGGGTTTGGGCTTTAGGGCGTAGGGTTTGGGGTTTGGAGTTTGGAGTTTGGATTTTGGGGTTTAGGGTTTAGGGATTGGGGGTTTAGGGTTTAGTATAGTAGTTATGCCATAGGATATGATGGTAGGTTATAGGGTTTAGGGATTGGGGGTTTAGGGTTTAGTATAGTAGCTATGCCATAGGATATGATGGTATATTATAGGGTTTAGGGATTGGGGGTTTAGGGTTTAGTATAGTAGTTATGCCATAGGATATTATGGTATATTATAGGGTTTGGGGATTGGGGGTTTAGGGTTTAGTATAGTAGTTATGCCATAGGATATTATGGTATATTATGGGGTTTAGGGTTTAGGCATGGGGGTTAAAGGTTTAGTATAGTAGTATAGTTGGGGGCTTGCAGGGCTTAGGGCTCGAAAGTTGAGGGCTTAGGGGCGTACGGTTTTAGGGCCGGGGGCTCAGGGCTTGAGGGCTTGAGGGCTCCGGGGCGGTTTGGGGCTTAGGGTTTTAGGGTTCTGGGCTTTGGTTTCGAGTCGTGGGCTTCGGGGTTTAGGGTTTAGGGGTTTGGGGGCTTTAGGTTCGGGGCTTAGGGTTTCGGGGTGCAAATAAAGGCTAACTTTTGGGATTTGAAGCCTAAGGCCCAAAGCTTTGATTCCAACCTAAACTGTAAGACACCTGAATGGATTTAGCGGCCCTGATTGTGAATTGCCTATAGACGTCCGTACCAAGGTAGGTTTCTGGGGGGCTTAAACTGCCCCCTAAAGCCCCCCCAAACCCTACACCCCAAACCCTAAACCCTAAAACCCAAACCCAACACCCAAAACCCTGAACCCTGAACCCTAAACCCCAAACCCTACACGCCAAACCCTACACCCCAAACCCTACACCATATAAACCCTACACCCCAAACTCTAAACCCTAAACCCTACACCCCAAACCCTAAACCCTAAACCCTACACCCCCAACCCTACACCCCAAACCCCAAACCCTAGACACCAAACCCTAGACCCCAAAACCCAAACCCTAAACCCTAAACCCTAAACCCTAAACCCCAAACCCTAAACCCTACACCCCAAGCCCCAAGCCCCAAGCCCCAAGCCCTAGACCCGACCCTACACACCTCTGCTGCGCGGCCC